ACATTACATACATTACATACATTACATACATACATACATGACATACATACATGACATACATACATTACTTACATACATACATTACATTACATTACATTACATTACATTACATTACATTACATTACATTACATACATTACATACATTACATACATTACATACATTACATACATTACATACATTACATACATTACATACATTACATACATTACATACATTACATACATTACATACATTACATACATTACATACATTACACACATTACACACATTACATACATTACATACATTACATACATTACATACATTACATACATTACATACATTATATACATTACATACATTACATACATTACATACATTACATACATTACATACATTACATACATTACATACATTACATACATTACATACATTACATACATTACATACATTACATACATACATAACATACATTACATACATTACATACATTACATACATTACATACATTACATACATTACATACATTACATACATTACATACATTACATACATTACATACATTACATACATACATACATTACATACATTACATACATTACATACATTACATACATACATACATACATTACATACATTACATACATACATACATACATACATACATACATACATACATACATACATACATACATACATACATACATACATACATACATACATACATACATACATACATACATACATACATACATACATACATACATACATACATACATACATACATACATACATACATACATACATACATACATACATACATACATACATACATACATACATATATATATCATACTTTTTGCATCTTTGGCTGCATTTCCCACCAATTTTTTCCACCCTCCTACAGGAAAGGCCAGTGGCTTGGCTTGTTTCCTGAACAAAAGACGACGGGACGGTCGTGGAATGAGGGCCTTCGAACTAAGACATGCGCACTGTTGTTAGTACGAAGGCAGTGTGTCTTGGCCCAGAGGGCTTTGAAACAGCCCTGCACTTGCAAAAGATTGAGGACGAATTGACAATTCACATGTAAACTACAGTATATGCCATGTTCTTTCCTAGTGAAGCCAGACTGGCCACTTCGACGGCAAACGCTCTGCAAACCTTACATAGTGCCTTTCAGTAATTAATATATAGAGTTTTACCTTTCTGGACGCCTGAAACTGAAAGTAAAGCCTGATTTCATGCTTTTATGACCTCATGATGCCTCACTCTGTGGCCCACTCGACATTGGGGACAGGATGATCTCAAGCTGGGATCATGGCGTAGAAAAATGTTTTTGGCCGTCGGAAAACAGTGAGGGTACCAGAGTCGGTAATGATTTATCACCATTTTGGTGGTACATAACCCTCCAATTATGTAATTGTCAGGGATTTGGTGTGTTTTTCCGGGTCACTTTTAATTTCAAATAGAAGATATGATCGGTGATTCGGTATGTTTTGGCAATATCTTCTATTGAAACGCACTCGGGACTTGGCGGGATTTGGGTTGTTTCTAATTGAAAAAAACTCCATAATATCTTCTATCTCTGGGTCACAGAATATAAATTACCAGAGGGTATTGGCTTTCGCCAGAAAACAACATAAGCTGTAGACTGTAATGCACAAGGTCCATGTCATGTCTACACACATATCATAGGTCCCTACCTGTCAAAACTTTCGCGTATTTTAGGTATGTCAAATTTCATGTCAAAACTGTAGAGAATCCATCTGTTGCGGACCAGTGATCACCGTGTTATCCAAATCGTGTGGCTTTCCGCTCAATGCTCCTTTCAGCCAACTCTGCGGACTTAGGTGCCAAGAATCCGTTCCCCACACAATATAATGCATATACATATACATACTTGTATATACACACAATATACCAATATCAAAAAAACATGCACACCTTGAACTTTTGCACCCCAACTTCCAACATCTTCCAATATCCAGCTGAGTGACACTCATACTCACCTCATCCGCAGCCTGCGCAGCGCTTCGCATCAGGTGGTACTGCAGGGCCTCTTGCCACTGCTGCGCCTTGCCACATGAACTCAGCAGGGCGTTCCAGCTGACGCCATCCGCCAGCTGACCCAGCAGCAGTGACCTAAGGGAGCAACGAAAGCGGTCAAGTTGGGATGTTGAAAGATGGGGATGTGGAAGAAGAATGGCTGGAACTTGGATGCTTTATCTGGTTGGGTTTTGCCATATGTTACCACTATCCATGTACTGGGTTACATGTTGGATTTTGAGTGATCCTTGAGGTGAAATGTCAAATTACAACAAAGAAACAGGTCAGTCGGTCAGTCATCACAAAAGGCAGCCATACGACTGAAAGAAACTCGCAGCCAACTGCCAATGTCCCATGCTCTCCTTGGATATGCACTGGCTGCTCAGACGAGGACACTCACCAACTTTACAGCTGGGTACCGCGTCATCACATGTATGTGTGTGTATATGTATATATATAAATAAATGTATGTATATATATATATATTCATATGTATATATATATATATTCATATGTATATATATATATTATATTCTGTTATGTTTTCTTTTATCATATTATATTAAATTACATTATATGAAATGACATCACATTATATTATATAATATTGTATTATATAAAATTATATTAATTATATGGTATTAATATCAAATTATATTAGTTATATTGTATAAATATTTCATTAAATTAAATCACATGATAACATATGATATCATATCAAATTATATTAAATCATATTATATTATATTATGTCATATTCTATTCTATTCTATCCGGTTCCATTATAATATAATATAATATAATATAATATTGTATCATATTATATTATATATTATATTATATTATATATTATATTATATATTATATTATATATTATATTATATTATATATTATATCATGTTATATTATATTATATTACATTACAGTACATTATGCCAAATTATATCATATTATATGTCAAAGGTCAACACGTCACCCGCAGGTTTCTGGGTCCAAATGATGACATGTACTATCGCAATCTATGAGCCAAGTTAACAAGTATATCAGGCACATCATCCCATACCAACCTGTTTGGAGCAGCAAGGTGAACCGCTGAGCCGCTAGATTTGTCAAGCGTCACCGATGCTGCTGATGAGGGCATTAAGACAAATCAAATTCGGAGCAACTTGCGATGAATTCATTGCCTCACAGTGGACAGTGTCCCCGTGACAAGCTTGGGCTATTAGGATGAGGCTAGTAATGGAAAAGGCATCATAAGTGGTCATGCTTCCAGGACAAGAATGCAGCAAATTGGGAAAGTCCAAACCCCCCAAAAGACCCTGCACTATTCTTCTACACGAATGATATCCACGATATACAGTAAAACAGACAGCGAAATCATATCTACTGTTGTTGGTTTTGTTGTCACTTGCACAAATGGACCCCCCTGGCTTATCAGTAGAAGGGTACTAAGTTTTAACATAAAATACAATTCTAAACCACTATTTTGGGACCTCCCCGATTAATAAACTCGAGGGACATCCATCTGGGGTCGACAATAGTCCTTGTTTCGCTGAAGGTGTTCAGTGTTTCTCAAAATTGAGGTGCCCCAAGTCACCATTCATTTCCCTACCGGATACCTCGGAGTCTCCCTTAATGAGCAAACCTCCAAATCCTCATTCTTTTCATGGTTAAGTCTAAAAACATGGTAGGATCACCATTCATGGCATTTCTACGCCATGAACCCGCTCCAACCCCCGGTTGGTTTTCGACTCCACTGGTTCGCCCAAGGTGCTGTGAAAACCTGCAGGGTCTGCTGCCACTGCCAAGCCTTCTGACATGCAGAGATCGCTGCACTGAAACTGACCACGTCCGGACTCACCTGGAACCTGGCTGTGATTTCACAACGAATCCTGAATGGTGCCTACGTTTGTTGCTGATCCAACTCGGAGGTTTCTAAAATCATGGGGGATCCCAAAGTCACCATGGGTTTCAGTTCCACCACTAAAAATGGCCCCATTTTGGATGATATACCCGGATGACTTTGGACACCTCCATTTGCCTGAAACATTGGCGATTGAAAAGAAACAGTGAATTTCCGGAAAGTTCCAACGAAGATATACTCCAGGACTCTCTGGGCAAACATCTTGGATACATTTGCTTCTGTGCAGAAGGCTTCCCGATCTTACCCGCGAAATGGCCTTCATAAACTGGGCCTACGGGACCCCAATGAATTAGCTACACATAAGTAGGTACTCTGTACTATTGCAACGGTTCGCAGCTAAAGCATCAAATTAGCTAATTATTGTAGTTCATTCGAATATGCATTCATAATGTACCTATGTTACATCTATGGTAAAAGATTATAGATCATACCCTGGATATATATATATATATTATATATTATAAGATTATAGATCAGACCCTTGTCTTTATCATTGATATATAGCACAGTACCAACTGGGGAAATATTAGCAATGCATACTGCATACACCGGGTGACGTGACCATGGACTCGAAAATCCGAAGAGCTCGTTTCCATTGCGTCACCTTCTCACATAAACCTCGAATGGGCAGCGACGAATTCCCTTGAAAGCCGTCTAAAGCAACCCCCGAAAAAGATAGAACAGGAATCTACTAGGAATTCCAATCAGCTAGCACATAACCACAGAATTCCACAGAGATATTTTGAAAAAACAGCAAATGTACCGTTGACCCTCTCAGTGCCCATCAAATTGAGTAAAGGTACGAAGCGATTGAGTTGAATAGCAATGTTCATCGTGGCATCAAAACTTTTCTTTGTTGCTCTAAAGGTCTATTTGCGAACCAGCTAATGGGGTGCCATTGCGAGTGGCAGAATCCAAACTCCGTCCTTCCAACAAACCACTCACAAAGCACAATTTAATGCAAGTTTAATCCGAGCCAAGGCAAATTAAATGACAAATACATCATAATACATCCAAGATCGGCATTTTCCCATTGGTCATCACCATTTGGCCAAACAACTGATGGCAGCATTGAAGCTGATCGCATCATGGATATCGGAGGATGAAAAGAGCCATAGTCCGCGCAGCCATTGATGCGCCTTCCTCGGTGTCCGCAGAAAATCAACACTCATCAAAACTGTCACTTGACATGATGAATGGATATGAATGGATTCCGTTTGACATGATGAATGCATTCCTTTAGAAACCTCTGAAACCTCCGAAACCTCAAAAGTGGCTCCAGCAAACCATCAGCAAGGCTTTCCGGGTTTCGCATTCGCACATCGACTCGAAAGATGTACAAAGATACTATCCAGTAAACTTAATATAGCTATGGAAAATGCCCTACGTATTGATGATTTACCGTGCACCTATGGAAAAGTGGTGATTGTTCCACATGTTAATTTACCAGAGGGTACAGTAATACAGTATATCGTAGGTTTGAAAGGTTGCAACTGCAACATACTGCAACAACCGCAGCAACGCTTGCGCAGGCGAGTTTGGATGGATCCAATGGAAGGATGTTGGCTCAACTGCTGGGATGATAAATCATGAATCGTCTTGAAGTCTGGATGGCCAATGTCAAGTAGCTGTAGCCTTTGTCATTAATGTAGGTCAATGTCAATTAAAATCAGTGGATGGTCAATGTCACGTATCCTGTATGTCAACTGGATGGAGTTCTGAATGCAGGATAGACATCGATATTTTCTTCGTGGTGACATGTGGTGACTCTTGCACACATGTTGGTCAACAAATGCAACACAGAATTACAAGAAGTGTACAATTACAAGTCCTACCGTGGCACTAGAAACAAATCAAAATAGAAAAATCTGAATCAAGAACATCCAAGAACCAACCCTTGAAAAATTTGAAGCCCAAGCGTCTCTAATGAACCTCAGTTGAGCTTTGCAATGGCTGCGATTCAGCTAGCAGTGGCTGAAATCCATCTCAACACATGAGCCAATTGCTTGTTCCGTGCTACTGGGATAAGCAAAGGACAAACATTGTCCATGATAGGGCATACTTATTTGAATCCACCTGCAAATCAATGTATAGTTTTTTTTCGCTCACTGCTCACATCCTCAAACCAAACCGACTAGGGCTTACTTGATAATCAAGTTTGCTTTACAATCGGGAAACAACACATGTATGGCCAAAACAAGGCTAGTGCTGGATCTTCTTTACTTTAGCAGGATTGCATGGGCTTTGTACCTCGTACATCCGGGTGAAACAATGATCACCTTCCAAACCCATGGCAGCTTGTAGGGTTTTCATCATCTGAACTTCAATGGGCTGCCACTTTTCCCGGGCCTCCTTCATAGGATCCCCCTCCACCAACCATTCTTTGAGGAACTTTCAAGCTTTTGACACTGCCTGACACTACCATAGCACACAAGCGGCTGGACATTACCTGACCCAAGAAGACATCCAGCTTCGGAAGCATGTGACGTAGCAACCCTGGCGGCAATTTCATTCTTTCAAAATTGGGTACGCAATCTAGAAACCACTCACTATCCTTCAATACCATGCAAAAAAAAAAGTAAAGTAAACTCACATCTTAGGATGCCGACTCCCGGATTGACAAACCCTGAGTCTTAAGTGGGGGGTATCCCCAATGAATAGTGATAATGAATTATACATATAATTATATATATACCTCAATATATACCAGTATATACTGCTAAAGTTGGTACCTCCCTTTTGATAAACTAGGGCCTGACATTGTTTTCGCCTCACAACTGGTTAGAAGACAGAAACTGCATCCTGCCGCCAAGATGCTAAGTGTGGAATTGAAGCCTCGGCGTTGCCACAGGATGGCGTTGCTAAGTGGTTAAGGTGGCAAATCTATGCACAGCTGGATCCGGTTATAGATAAAAACAAATCACTTGATCCATTCAAGAACTTTACTAAGCCCCAGTTTTTTGTGATGAGTTGGGCCCGCAGGGTTTTTTCATCTTGGGCCCGCCCATTTTGAACGTGTTGTGATTTAAGTACTTGCGGTGCTCTCCCAGAAGACGACCCTGTACCATCCCCCAAAATCCTGCATGAATTCATCGGACCACTGTCGAGGGACACTGCTTCACAGCCACAACTTTTTAGTTGACGTAGCTACCAAACATGAGCAACACACAATGAATCTGGCACAACGCACAACACGCGTATCTTTTGAAATGCAACGACGGCTAATATGCACATAACATATGATACATTAGTGTATGGAAGCACACATAATTTTACATACAGGTGTAAATATATATATATGTATATATATATATATGTGTGTCATGTATTATACAAAATATATGGTATATGTACTGATGTAATATACAAACTATTACAACCGTATGACTCTTGCAATGAAACTGTTTGGGGAAGGCGGTTTCAGTGCCAAGCGCCAAGCAACTCACAACATTCGGTTGCACCTTTGAGCTGCGCATGGACTGGAACCTGAGCGAATCTCAATGATTTAAAACCCAATTGCGTATGCCAAAAAGATAAAAGGATATGACAACCTTAAGTTGATGGTTTACGTATATTTATGTACGTTTCTGTATTTTGTTTACATATGTCTATGTGTGTCTATGTTTGAACTCCCCATAACAATAACCTCATTGTTTTCATGGTGAAAGGCGGTGAAGTCATGAACAAAATCCCCCATGTTTTGCATGTTCTTGTCAGATCTTGCTGGATCTTGCTAGTAAAAACCCAACTCTTCGTTTGCAAAATGCCGTATTGCTAGGTGAAATCCCCATCATATTGCTATATTTCTTGTTCGAATCCTCATGTTTGTATCATGTTTCTAGAAGCTGTTGTGTATGATTACATCCCAATTTCGGGAATAGATCACCATGTTTGCAGGTGAAATCCCAATCTGTTGCTGGGAAATCATCATTTTGCCTGGTGAAATCCATGATTTTTGCTGGTTAAATCATGACCTCCCCATACTTTTTCTCGGTGACTTCTCGAAACCAGCCTAGGCTAACCGCTCTGTGGCACCTGCTGCCCCGGTACATTTGCAAGGCTTCCTCCCAGCGTCCCATCTTCTCGCAGGCGTTCAAATAGGCGCCATAGGAGAAAACATTGGGCTGAAGTTGCTGCAAAGGCATGGATTGAAACCTGAGTTTTATCATGGGATCTGTCATGATCTGACCGAATTCATGGATTGGTTTAAGGGAAATTTACCAGGAAAACCATGGAACCCTCCATTAATTATATTAATTTGAAGGGAAAAAACCATCGTTTCCTGTAGATGTTCTCTTAAATCAGCCCAGGAATTCATGGAAATTTAATAAAATTTCACCAGCAAAGATGTTTTTGTTTAAATATAATATTTCCACTGTATGAATATATGAGTAATATATTAATATATCAAATAGATAACTATATAATCATCTAGCTATAGCAATATAATGCAATAGATTCATATACTATAGTGAATTTAGATACGGATATTTTAGATCATATTAATTTCAGTATGTTCATATCACTATTTAATAACTATATTACTTGATAATCTCTGTATTGGCTATACTTTAGATAATTCTATTGCTGATATGAGATTAATAGTACTATTATATGAAATTATCTAAAGTATCAGTATCATATTACTTGAAATTATACTATTTAGATAATTTCATATAATTCCCAAAATATCTCATAGACCATCCCCCAAAACGAACGTTTCCTGCCAGTGGCATTGAGTGGCGACGTGCGTAACCGCTACACAAAGAAAATATGGCCATGTTCCCGGTGTTTTTTTTTGATAAACCACTGGGAGTTTCTTTGGGGATTGGAAACACATGTCTTTTGACATCTAACATGAAATTCGCTCCAGATATGCTATACATCCAGTAAATATCTGGAGTTTGATATACTGTATTGTCGAATGAAACATACCATCTGGTTATGACTAACAGTTGGCCATGGAAAATCACCATGCTATTCATAGGTAAACCATCTATTTCTATGGGCCATCTATACCATGGCTATGTTTAAAAACCAGAGGGTAACATATACATCTTCAGTAGATCTGGCGATTTTGAATGTCTTCGGCGATTTGGAATAATTCCGCGGGTTTTTCACAAGCTTCGGAAGCGCAACATTTTGCAAGAATTAGCCTCCGCCGGATCTTCGTGCCGAAAGAGTTTCTATAAATAAATATACATGTACAGGATGGGGCCCCATAGTTAGCTAAGTTGGTTTATAATTATAATAACAAGCGGTGTATGATACTTAAAACATTTTATAACTATATGTAGATGGGGTTATAAGCCAACTTATAACTGGGGGGCCTCATCCTGTAATGATAGCATACCCCAAATATCAAATATCATTGTATCCAACAAATACGGATTCCACATCTTCACCCCAGAAATGGGGGATATTCAACAGTTGACTGCTCAAAGCAACTTGTCCCCTCCGAAAAAACATCCCAGACAGGTGGCCTCAAGTATCCTTGAAGGCACAAGCCTCTTTTTCTTCTAGAAATCTCTAATTAATTGTAAAACAAACTAAGCACAGCTTGCAGAACGGACACACACCCTGCCTAATGAATGTTCCAGACAGAAGCTTCGAAGGCTAGATGGCAAGGTCACCCGCTCCAGGCTTTGGTTGAACATATGGCCAAAACTCAAGCTTTGAAGACTCGATGGCAAGGTCACTCGCTCCAGGCTTTGGTTGAAGTCATTGCCAAAACTCAAGCTTTGAAGACTCGATGGCAAGGTCAGCTGCTCCAGGCTTTGGTTGAACATAAGGCCAAAACTCAAGCATTGAAGACTCGATGGCAAGGTCACCCGCTCCAAATTTTGGTTGAAGTCATTGCCAAAACTCAAGCTTTGAAGACTCGATGGCAAGGTCACCCACTCCAGGCTTTGGGTGAACATATCGCCAAAACTCAAGCTTTGAAGACTCGATGGCAAGGTCACCCGCTCCAGGCTTTGGTTGAACATATGGCCAAAACTCAAGCTTTGAAGACTCGATGGCAAGGTCACTCGCTCCAGGCTTTGGTTGAAGTCATTGCCAAAACTCAAGCTTTGAAGACTCGATGGCAAGGTCAGCTGCTCCAGGCTTTGGTTGAACATAAGGCCAAAACTCAAGCATTGAAGACTCGATGGCAAGGTCACCCGCTCCAGGCTTTGGTTGAACATTGCCAAAACTCAAGCTTTGAAGACTCGATGGCAAGGTCACTCGCTCCAGGCTTTGGTTGAACATAAGGCCAAAACTCAAGCTTTGAAGACTCGAGGGCAAGGTCACTCGCTCCAGGCTTCGGTTGAAATCCTGGACAAAACTCAAGCTTTGAAGACTCGATGAAAAGGTCGCCCGCTGCAGGCTTCGCTTGAAGATATGGCCAAACCTCATGCTTTGAAGGCTCGATGGCAAGGTCACCCGCTCCAGGCTTTGGTTGAAATCCTGGACAAAACTCAAGCTTTGAAGGCTCGATGGCAAGGTCACCCGCTCCAGGCTTTGGTTGAACATATGGCCAAACCTCATGCTTTGAAGGCTCGATGGCAAGGTCACCCGATCCAGGCTTCGCTTGAACATATCGCCAAAACTCAAGCTTTGAAGACTCGATGGCAAGGTCACCCGCTCCAGGCTTTGGTTGAACATAGGGCCAAAACTCAAGCTTTGAAGACTCGATGGCAAGGTCACTCGCTCCAGGCTTTGGTTGAACATATCGCCAAAACTCAAGCTTTGAAGACTCGATGGCAAGGTCACCCGCTCCAGGCTTCGGTTGAACATATCTCCAAAACTCAAGCATTGAAGACTCGATGGCAAGGTCACCCGCTCCAGGCTTTGGTTGAAGTCATTGCCAAAACTCAAGTTTTGAAGACTCGATGGCAAGGTCAGCTGCTCCAGGCTTTGGTTGAAATTCTGGCCAAAACTCATGCTTTGAAGGCTCGATGGCAAGGTCACCCGCTCCAGGCTTTGGTTGAAGTCATTGCCAAAACTCAAGTTTTGAAGTCTTGATGGCAAGGTCACCTGCTCCAGGCTTTGGTCGAAACCATCAGTAAAAATCAAGCTTGCGAGGCTGCGGGGGAGATGATTTAAACACTCTCCAAACATTGATCCCTCAAGTTGTGTGACACCTTCTAGCGCAAACTCTCTGTCACACGTTGGGAGCCCACATACATAACGCCATGCAGTGTACAAATTGGTTGGTATGTAAGTGGAGGACAACATTGTTGATTTTCCAGCAATCCCTTGCTCTCCCAAGGTTTGATCAAGCGCTAGCTTTCGATTCACATGATGCACGGCGAGCTTTGCACCTGGCCTGCATGGAAGCTTCTCTGACACCAACCTGCGCAGGTCATACCCAAGCATGCAGCGAGGGACGCTCAATGTCACTCCGTCGCCAGTCAAGCACAGCACCTGAAGATCAACCTCATCAGTTTCATCTGCTGCACCTTTGTCAGTAGATGGATCCTCATAGCCATGATGTGCACCGGACATCGGTCAGAAATTACATACCCACCACGGCGCTAAGCCAAAATGTCCACAAAACCAACATGCACAACCCTGAAATCTAACATGAAACCTATTTTTTTCGCATTAAGCATATTCCAATGCCATTCTGTGAGGGCCGCTGCATTCCATTTGAGGCCCACCTTGCTCATGTTAAATTGTCACCTACCTCAGGGTCACCTTTGCCCCTACCCCAACTAGGTTCACATTCGCCCCTACCTCAAATACCTTTCTACTTAATAAGTCATTCAACCTTTTAGGGCTTAAAACTGGGGACAAGGGACATTTAGGGGGAACTTGGGGACATTGGTTAGGGGGGACCGGGGGACCGGGGTCACTTACCTTCCTAATAAGCCATTCAACCTTTTAGTGTTTAAAACCAGGGACAGGGGGCATTTAGTGGGGACTTGGGGACATTGGTTAGGGGGGGACCGGGGGCACTCACCTTTCGACTTCATAAATCATTTAACTTTTTTGGTTCTTACATGGGGACCAGGGACACTTGGGGACGTTGGTTAAGGGAGGACCCGGGTGGAAGTTACTTGAAATGTATGCTGCCACAAAGCATCCAGGACGTCTTGGAAGTTAGTTGACCTGGATACAACGTAGCACGCAGAACAGGTTTTGAAGTTCCTTGAGCTGCATGTTATAAAGTAGCATCCAGAGCGTGGTGGAAGTGATTTGAAATGGATGTTACAACATAGCACCCAGAACGTCTTGGAAGTTACTGGAAACGGATGTTACAACGTAGCCTCCAGAGCGTCTTGGAAGATGCTTGACACGGAAGTTGCAACATAGCACGCGGAACAGGTTGGAAGTTGCTTGAAATGGTTGTTGCAACGCGGCATGCAGAACGTCTTGGAAGTTGCTTGAAATGGATGTTGCAACGTAGCTTGCAGAACGTCTTGGAAGATGCTTGAAACCTATGTGGCAACATAGCACGCAGAATAGGTTGAAAGTTCCTTGAATTGCAAGTTACAAAGTAACAACCAGAGCATCGTTAGCATGCACAACGTCTTGGAAGTTGCTTGAAAAGGATGTTAGGGCTGACTGTCACAGCTGGAAAACGATCCTTTAACACCTCTAAAACTATTGCGCCTGCCACGCAAAACGAGGTCGAGTAATGTTTTTAAAGGTTGCAAACCTCATGGGGGAATCGGCAAGAAGGTTGCAACCAAAATTTCACCCCTGGTGTTGGTATGTCGGGAAATCATCTACACAAAAACTAAGGGGCCATTTCAGATTGCAAAATCACGATTCTCACACATAATCCATCTATCAATAATGTACCCCTATTAAAAATGGCCTCTGGAGTAGTAACATGTAGTACCCCTGTGTTATGATCCAGTTGTATATGGGCTATAGCAACATTATAGTATACATGGGTTATGAACATGTATAGACAGCTTACGTACTAAATGGAATGCACCTGACAGTTGTAAGAAATCCTGGATCAGTTGGGAGATGGTGAACATCCCAGTATAATATAACCCCGAACCCCATAGTCCCAGTGTTTCATAGTTACATTTCATATTTACAGGATGGTGCCCCCCAGTTATAAGTTGGTTTATAAATCCCATGAATACTATTGGTATATCTACCATAAACCATAGAATTCAGCCACTTATAACAGGGCTTGGTAAATGTCCCATTTTGGAGATTTTGAACATCCCACAAGCTTGTCCTGCCAGGACACAACTTCCGCGCTCCATCGATGCATCCGCCTGTGGCATTGGCTCCGATGGCCGCAGTGTAACTCACCAGGTCGGGCTGCAGCTGATCGGCCTGGGGCAAGGGCTATAACCGACCCTCATCAAGCATAGCAATGGCAAATCCCCATGAAGACATTGGAAAATATAGGAAAATCATGGGAAAAGATGAGGAACTCACATAGAAATGAAGGCTTATAGCTGGGAAAATCATCTATAAATGGAGATTTTAATGGGAAATTCCCGAACTAAATGGAGGTTTATAGCTGGGAAATTCATCTAATATTGTATATTATATAGATATAGATATAGAGGATGTTGCATTGAGATGTTTGATTACTGGAGGGTAAATGGTAATCATCCCCTTTCTAAGTTCCCAGTCATACGTGGTTTCATCCCCTACATCCATCATGGTTTCTGCCGGATGTTTAATAGTGTTTCTTAATACAAGGGGGAAATAGGGGGAAGGTATTATCCATTTGATAATCAAATACGGAAGTGTTACCATGACAAATTGGGACTTTATGGATTTTGAAATAATATATAATCATAATCAAAGCGATTATCATTGGATCTTAATGGAGTAATTAGAATCATAACACACTGCGTGGCCTCCCCTTTTATGTTTGTTGGTCTATAAGCCGATCCAACTAGGTTGCCTGGTTAGGCTACTTAGCCTATAACCAGCAAGCATCTATCGATTGGAGGCCTCGGGCAAGTTATTGGGGAAATCGAACTGCCAGGGTACTATGAGGGTTGGACAAGGGGGATTTAGTCAACCGAAAAATGGATAAAACTCATCAGTGGCGAAGCCAACATTGAAGTCTAAGTGGACACATACGGATTTTTGACAATTTAGGAAGATCAGAATAGAATGGTTAACTGCTAACTGATTCGCAAAGTAGTGACCATGGCTTTTACCCAAGTATATATACGGATTTCCTAAACAATCCGCCTCAACCAATTGTGGGATTGACTGGCTAGTGGTTTCAAACCACCAGAAACAAAAAAGATCGCGATTTTGGATCGAATCATTCTCAAATTAAGGGGGGCACAATTTACTGAAACCACCAACCGCCTATGTTTTGGTTTGAAGCATGGATAGGCATGAAGTAACCAACACAGAACGAGCAGATTTACCAACAAATGCTACGATTTTGTATGATGCAGTGGGGGATGAACATTAGTCACCCTAAAGTCACATGGACATAGGCCAATCATGACCAATCAACAACGAGGTAAGACATGTAGGGATGAATTAACCAAAAATATTGGAGTACAACAAAAGAATTTCAGTGGAAACATCAAGACCATCTCATGTGTTGCCATATTTTATCTGGGAAATGAATAAAAGAACACAGCAGCCAACGAGGCATTCAATGTTTTTTTTAAACCAACCTCGAGGGTGGCATGAAACTTGTTTTCACTGGCAAATTTGTCCAAACTTTGGAATTTTATTTTATATGGTGATATTTACTTATTAGGTCTTTGTTTACCCACAACTCTACGTTCACCCGTCTGTATTGATACTCTTGAAGGTCAAGGTGACGAAAAAAATGAAAGACGTCAAGAAAATGGACAACAGGATATGAGCACGGATAGACCAACACCAACAAAACACGACGTGATGACATGGATCATCATCCCAGTGCTTGGGAGTTGAAGAATCACACTTTACAACTTAAGGAAAACGGGGTCAAAAGGGTCAAAGCAGCCTGCCAAACATCATTCTTTTGAACTTGTAGAATCTTGCAAATGGAAGTTCATCCAATTCATTTCCCCAACTTCCCTCTTGAACTTTCCCACAAATGGACGCCCCGTTCTCTGCAACAAATCAACAACCACCGGGTCGCACCTTTGGGTCGCCACCAAGGCACCTGCAGCTCCGCAAATAGCTGGCATGCTCGAGGCCAGTAGCTCATCTGCGTGAAAGCCACCATGGCAGCGGTGTAGTGCCAGAGATCTAAGAGTCCTGCAGCTTAGGCAACCCAACAAATAGGAAGCAACGAAACGAACAATTAGGGTCTATATAATCACCAAACCTTGGATTCGTATACACTTGGATTATGAATGGGTTTTATTGATTGAAATAACTAGGCTAAGTATGGCTAAGTAGCATGGATGTACTGTGGATATATCAAACTAGTTAAATGGGGTTAAATGGGGTTAATAAACATTAATAAACCAACAGTTATAGATCTCAGGGGGGCCTTCCTGCAATGACAGGGCAGCTGAGACCATAATGGTACCATGGTCCTGTCTCTTGCCGCAAAATCTGCAGAACTGTATGCAGCGTCTCTGCTTGATTCTTCTTGCCTAGGGCCTGCAATAGTTCTTGAATTTGAATCTTTTGCGGCCTGCCCTTCTTCTTGTGAACGAAAGGGAGCAAAACAACCTTGGCAAGTTTTGCTGTTGAAAGCATTGTGTGATAAAGGACCTACCGTACCTGTTCAATCCTTTTCATATGTGCTATAGCGCTGTGGTAAAAATATCGCTTGCATGGGGTCATCCGGCCGCCAGGGATATTCATGGAAGTATGAGCCCAATGACCCAAATGCGTATTTTTTGGCACACATCTAGTCATCTTGACCAATGCAATCAAGTCCTTCAACATCTTTCAACTGAGCAAATAATAAATGTAAATGAATGTAAATGAATGTAAATGAATGTAAATGAGCTCTACCACTGGCAAACAGCGAGCCAACCGATGCGTTGCACATTGAAATAAGGTCACATGGTGATGATTGGTAAGGTTCTGCAGCCAAGGGGGCCCACTGCAAAGCACTTGGATTATTTGGATTCTGCACTGGAACAGGAACTAAAACAATGTTGAGGAATATGGTGTACCGAAGTCGCAAAACATACTGGTTTCTCTTGTCCAGATCCCTTGCAAGATGCCACAAGACAGTCGAGTTACCCTTGTCTGTGTGAGGCCAGAGCTTGATGATTGCCATGTCAAGTTGGAAAGGAGCTCAGTGACCTAAAACAAACACAAGCAAACCAGCAATACCGTACTTGGGTATGGATCAACAGTGGGTAAATTGATGTAAATTGGCTCTACGTGCCCAGCAGTGGATTGTTTCGAAACAAGAAGATAAATGAAGAAAAGGCAAAACCTAAAACAGAGTGCCATACTTAGATGGGCCATGGAGTTAGTTAACTAGTTAGTAAATGGATTATAATTGGGATATAGGGGGTTATAACCCCAGTTACTAACCAGTTAGTTAATCCCATGGCCCATCTAAGCATAGAGTGCTGGGTGGTTTAAACAATCTATGGCCAACGAGGGCGGATCTGTTCGACCTTCCAGGAAATCTCACATTTTGAGTCGCTGAAGGGCAGCAAAAAAAGACATAGCTGCCGCCCTGCACCATGAATAAACATATTTCGATATTGCTCATGAAACAAGGCTGAAATGACCTTCACAAAATAGCTCAGATTTCTCAGCCAATCTAAGTGTTTTACTTTGAAGAGGAGTGCGAGTTAAACGATGAACGAAAAGGATATGGCTATGCAGGGTCTGTGCACAAGCCGGAGAATCAGAAAAACAGAGGTTAAAAAACGGAATTTTAGTTCATGGTTCAAGGGATCTGCAAACACTTCTGCTAAGGTATCGTTGGATGTCCGTTCTGCACGCCCTGCACAGTTTCTTGCAGCTGAGTCACAGCACTCCAACGACAGCTTCGCTCCAACATGGCCCGAAGAACACCATCGGCCCAGCCAAAATGGCTTCGAAACTGCGAAGATCTGCGAAGGGTGCCAGCCATTGAACGGTGGAAATACTATGGCTAAACATGGCTAGACTTGGAGATTCAGCGCAAAAGTATCTTGGGATATATTGCCTCATCAAAAAGAAACAGCAAGATACAGCAAGCATCTTCTGCAGATGTTGCAATAAATCTTCTCTGATAAATACACATGTTTCCTTCTCAGCAAATCATGGCGCAACGTGTTGCAAACTCTCTGATGGCGACACTTCCGCATTTGGGTTGATTTCTTTTATCCATGTTGGGTAGAGAAATACCATGATGAGATTCCATCATCACAGAAATCCGTATACAAATTCTTCATGGGACACTTTTTCCACTCTCCCCTATCGAAGCACTACGTCTGCCCCCTAAAGGAAAGCCTCCTGGCCCGGGTTCCGCTGGGTCCCCGCAGTCGCCAAGTCTCCGTATGCGAGTCACGGAAATTGCTCCCCCAGGTCCCCAAGCTCTCGTCCTGATTGCAACACTGCACTGCTGCACTTGGCTAGGGCGGCCACACCGAAAGCTATAAACTTCGAAACATATCAAAAATCGAAGCATATTACAAATAAATACAAACATATATCAAACAGTTTATTTCATGTTACATCTACATCAAAAATCCACATACACTATGCATATATATATATGCATATGTAACACACACACACATCCATTTCTCCATGCGAAGTATGCCCCGATTATATCCATCAGCAGCCCGGCCTTCAGCTTCACTTCCTCCTGTGCCATGGAAGCCCTGGAAGCCATGACTACAGAGCTGGGGGTGCCCGGTTGGCTCATGGTTCTACCTCGGTGCAACTCGCGCGTTGGGTCAACATGGCCTTGTTACAGATCATTCAAGGCCTGGCAACCAAAGATTTCGGTCACAAAACTCGTACTGCTTACGAATCATCTTCTTTTTGGGGTACCCAAAATACCGACAATAGGCGTCAATCAGTCAGCTTTTGCTATAGCTTACAGTACACACTTCCTTGGAGAGTTGAAGGGCATTCACCTGCTCTTCAACTGGCGTCAGTGGCCAGTGTGCTCCTCCCCGAAAAAACTGGTTGGAAACAAATGCATACATATTATGTTGTGTCTAGATATGTGCATATACTGTATATCATCCATCTATCATCTGTCCTGCTTTTATGATAGTTGAAAAGGTGGTACTGTATATTTGCATCTTTGGACACCACGGTTACTCCACCAACATTCACTACTGGTCTGAATTGGGCACCCTTAGACGCTCGCTAGCGGTAGTGAATTGGGTCCCTTAAAACACGCGCTACCGATAGTGAATTGAGAATCCTTAGAACGCTCGCTACCGGTAGTGAATGGAAACCCTTAGAACGCTCGCTACCGGTCGTGAATTGGGAACTCTTAGAACGCTCGCTACCGATAGTGAATTGGGAACCCTTAGTACGCTCGCTACCGGTAGTGAATTGGGAACCCTTAGAACGCTCGCTAGCGGTAGTGAATTGGGAACTCTTAGAACGCTCGCTAGCGGTAGTGAATTGGGAACCCTTAGAACGCTCGCTACCGGTAGTGAATTGGAAACCCTTAATTGGAAACCCTTAGAACGCTCGCTACCGGTAGTGAATTGGGAACCCTTAGAACGCTCGCTACCGGTAGTGAATTGGGAATCTTGTCAATGGGGAGCCCTTAGAACGCTCGCTACCGGTAGTGAATTGGGAATTCTGTCAATGGGGAGCCCTTAGAACGCTCGCTACCGGTAGTGAATTGGGAATTCTGTCAATGGGGAGCCCTTAGAACGCTCACTACCCGTAGTGAATTGGGAATTCTGTCAATGTGGGGCCCTTAGAACGCTCACTACCGGTAGTGATTTGGGGATTCAAAATGTATAAAAAAATGGTGCTATTAAGATAAATAGTGTTCTAACAGGGAGTGACTGTCGCTCCCTGTTAGAACGCTCGCTACCGGTAGTGAGTGTTCTAAGGGAGGGTTGGGAAACATCGACCCAGGGATGATCTTGTGTTTTCGCCGGGGTCTTAGTGAGAAGAACGCAAGATTGATGGTGCCCCAGCGACGGAAAAACTCCACTAGAACGCTCGCTACCGGTAGTGAGTGTTCTAACAGGGAGTGACGGTCGCTCCCTGTTAGAACGCTCGCTACCGGTAGTGAGTGTTCTAAGGGTGCCACCGGAATCATCGACCCAAGGATCATCTTGTGTTTTCGCTGGGGTTGTACTGAGAAGAACACAAGATTTAGGGTGGTCCAGCGACTCCAAAACTCCACAAGTGCAGTCGCTACCGGTAGTGAGTGTTCTAACAGGGAGTGACGCTCGCTCCCTGTTAGAACGCTCGATTTAGGGTGGTCCAGCGACGCCAAAACTCCACAAAGCGCAGTCGCTACTGGTAGCTTCATCTAGTGTGTGTGTTTTTTCTCACTGGCTGGGTCTCCACAAAAAGCGTTGACAAGGGAGTTCAAAAGACCTTCCAAAGCATTTCAATTTTCAACCATCCCATTCACTTAAACTTTGGGCTCCATTCATCTGGGGCAGTGTCCCACTATCATGCAACGAAAGGTTGTGTAATTTGTCTGCAGCTACTGGGGCTTTGTTTGTCTTCCTTTTTTGACAATCTTCAACTTGTGCTAATTCCATTGGGTGTTAGTTGGGCTTACCTCCCTCTCCAGCAGTATCAACTATTCAACTAGTTTCCTGCAGAATGCTAGAGAGTGTCCTAGGGGTACCCCATTCACCTGTAGTCCTGTAGTGATCGTTTCAAGAATGCCTCGATTCGTACCAGTAGCGAATACTGGTGGGTGACCATTCTGTCCAACGATGCCTATACATTCAGTACCACCTTTTCAACTATCATAAAAACAGGTCAGTCATATTAATATAGAATAAGAATAATAATAAAAGTAATAACACTAACAATACGGCAAGACCCTATGGTTTGCCCGCAAGGTTAGAATGGAGTTCAAATATTATCCTTCGACGTGCTCAAAAACCTGCGCAGGGCCAGTGTTTTGGTATTTACCAGACGACGAACCCTAAACCCTAAAACCCTAAACCCTAAAACCCTGAAAACTCTGAATCCGAAAGCAGAAAACACTGCGGATACGCAGATTTTTTTCCGCAATTTTCCTTGTCATGTTCGACGACAGGGAATCCTCAATGTTGCAGTCCGGGCAAACCACGGAGCCTGTGCGTAACACAAGTAATAATAACAATAAAAAAATGAGTGTAATCTAGACGCACATATGTATATATATATGTATGTATATATGTATATATATATATGTATATATATATGTATATATATATGTATATATATATATGTATACATATATATATATATGTATGTATATATATGTATACATATATGTATATATATATTAAATTACATTATATCATATTTTGCTATATGATATTACTTTATATTATGTTATACTATATTAAATCATATTGTGTTATATTCTATGATGTTATTACAACACTATACCATATTATATTGCAACGTTAAATCATGTTATCTTATATTATATCATATCATATGATATTATACCATATGTTGTTATATTATCTTATATTATCTTATATGATATATATATAATTATTTATAGGTAAATGTCAATACATATATTACTGGTTGGTGATTTCAACCACTCTGAAAAAACATGAGTCAGTTTGGATGATCCCAATAAATGGACAAATAAACATGTTCCAAACCACCAACCAGAATTCTATAAATCTCCATTGTTGTTGGTTAAATCACCATTTTCCTATGGTTTTCCTATGGTTTTCCTATGGTTTTCCTATGGTTTTCCTATGGTTTTACCAAGCACATATCGATGTTCGCGAGGTGCGGAGCCACAAGCGCTGGCTCTGGGCATCGAAGGTGACCTTGCGTAGTCGCAGTTAAATCTTCCATTTGAAGTAACGAAAAACATGGGGACACTGGAAAAAACATGGGGAAATACCAGGAAAATTGGGGAACTATCAGGAAACTCAAAAGTGTTTTTTTCGGGTTTTCATAGGGAAATATTTCTGGAAATATCTATGTTGGGAATTCCAGGATCCGATTGATTGGAGGTACCTACCATTTTTTTAAGGCCTATATAAGGCCTATGTAATGGGATATCCCAGCAAGATATGGCCTTATATGGTACAGTACCTCCATTTTAGGATCCTGAAATTCCCATTGATATAAGGAAACTATAGTTTTTTTTCGGGGTTTCATAGGGACATCTCTATTTAACCAGGACAAACATGTGGAGTTTGACCATCAACAACGGAATTGTTGGTGGTTCAAATCATGAACCTGATTTTTTGAGCGAACATGTACCCTGATGTTGCAAAGTGACATGGGATTAATGGTGATTAATGGTGATTAATCGGGGTTATTAATGGCTAATAGTGAATTAATGGTGATTACCCTCTGGTAAACTGACATAGCTATTGAAAATGACCATAGAAATAGTGGATTTTCCTATTGAAAATGGTGATTTTCCATAGTTATGTAAACGTTTACCAGAGGGTATAGGAAACATGGTCCTTCACACCAAAAACATCATTGTTGGGACTTGTCTTGAACTGGTTGGTGGTTGAGCCTACCCCTCTGAAAAAAATATGAAAGTCTATGGGAAGGATGACATCCCATATGACATGGAAAATAAAACATGTTCCAAACCACCAACCAGTGAGAAATCGTGCTTCAAACAAACTTTGGGTTATTAAAATCGCGGGAATCAAAAGGACTCAACCAATGGCTGATCAATCAGCCACTCTTCCACCATCCAAGTTTGGGCTATCGATATTTTTGAATCATACCCAAATTGTCTAAATCATAAGTCTGCAAAAGACACATGTGTCACGACTATTAGCCAACAACAATGCACTGGTAGTTAGTTGAAGTCTCTTTTATAAGATGCATGTGTATAATAAATAAATAAATAAATATATATATATATTATAAATGCAGAAAGGGGCAAAAGGAAGGATGCCATTGAGGACATCTTCAATTTTTTCATAGCAATCAAACATGACGAAGCAACAATAACTGGATATCTCTGGTGTTCGGCCGGAATAGTGAAGCTAGTGATAGGCATAAAATGGAACTCACCTGAAGAGCCTAGAGTGGCCTCTGGGTCTACACCAAATCCAGCCCGTCATCATCATATGTCCAAAATGACATTTTTTTCGGCGTATTTCCCATTTTAGATTAATAAAATAAAAACAAAACATGGTGCCCCTGTTGCGAATCTCTATAAAGAGGATTTATTTATTTCCAATCGGCTGTCTAACAAGAAGTGAAAGCCATCTTCATGCTTGGGCATATCCTAAAACCCATGACCATTTCCCATTTCCGCATGTATAAGAACATCCTGAACCTTGCAAGTGAGATGGGGGCGGCAACTCATATGCAACCTGAGTCAAAAGTGGGTACATGATGGTACATGGTTGAAACGCGAGGTTTATCCAGAGTTGAACGTGCTAGGGGCCCAACATTGAAAGAAATGAGAAGACTAACCTTGCTTGCAAAGGGATCTGATTAAATTTGTCTCCTCAAATCGGTGACTATCCACTCATTCACCATCCCGAAAGCTCTAGCTATCCTCTGGTT